AGTTTCCTTATCAGCTACAGAATCGTCTGTAGCTGTTTCAGAAATAACTACTGCATCAACTGCCTGAAGTTTATGTTTAACAGTTTTCTCAGTGATTTGTTGGACTTGTTCACACTTGACTTTACGCGTGGATTCTACATACCGACGGTCAGGATTTGGATCGTAAACAAACGGACAGCGGCCAGCACTAGTGACACGAAATTGAGGCCATGAGCCCTGACTGGGCTCATTAACCTTAGTGTATTCTTTAACCATCACAGGACGGTAGTAGTGCGCGTAATCCCAGATCAACAGATATGGTCCCTTGAAATAAACATGATCGTCACGCTTAGCCTTCGGGTCTCTATCGGTAGGCCCGTGTAATTTTTCCTCCTTCAGTAGATTGGATAGATTATCAGTTACGGCGTTACTGCGAGCTAAAACATTAGCCGGTTGATCAAGTAAATTGGACAAAAACCGCCAAAGCTTTTCAATGGTCCAAATTTTGATACCAAGCTCTTTAGCACGGTAAAGGATGTCTACCGAAGGTAATTTCTCAATTTCATTGATAGAGCGTCGGGTGACTAAGTGGGTAACGGTTTGACCGTCAAAGAATTCGGCAGCTTTGGCGTCAAACAGCGATAAGTGTGATTTAGCACGTTCCTTAATTTTAGTGTCTACACCATCAAAGTAGAAAATACTCGTAGTCATAATTCTTTTCCACTGTCGTTGCCACTCACGTAGTTCATGGTTCTCAGCAGTAGCAGTAGCCGTTGCTTTGGATTCAATTTCCCGTTCATGTTCTCGTTCTCGCTCAGCTTCTTTAATTTTCTCTACTTCTCTATGACGTTCTTTCTCACGGCGTCGAGCTTGAAATTGCAGCTGTTGTTGTTGTTGAAGCTGTAATTGTTGAAGCTGTTGCTGCTGCTGTAGCTCTAGATTTTGTAACTGATGTTGTTGCCGCTGTTGGTGAAATTGCAACTGATGTTCATTTTGAAGGCTATCACCCTTTTGAATCACAGCAGATTGTTCTAGATCAACCATTTCACGACTATTGAGCTTAGAAGCAGCAAATAGCTGTTTACGAGCTAATTTGGGATCATAAATCTCTTTATTGCTCATATAAGCCGTAGCATTAGTAGAACCACGCTGATCATCGGCCCGCTGTCTTTTAATACTGGGTGATTTAACGTTGATGTTAGATTCCTTAAGCGGCACGCGCACCTGGTTTCTTATGAAGTTGCCATTATAAAGCGTTTGATTATTCGACATAATTGATTAGAAGAAACCTGTGATGTTGTATTATTAGTATGTTTAATACCTGATGACGTATATTTAGTTGCGATTATATGTCAATCTAAGTAGGGTGTACTAAGTGAATAGCAGCAGGGAAGAGGTAAAAAGCAAAATAATTAAATATCACCTCTTAATACGTAAATCAGCCGGCTGAGACCAAAAACAAAATATGTAATCTGAATTTGTTTATTGTGACTTCACCTACAGGATAGTGGTAGCAGTAATGTCGCTCAAAACGCGTAAAGAGCACCGCTTTCCAGAATGTAGTAAGCGCAACGATCCAAGGCTATCGAAGATCCGTACGGGTCAGCGTATATTGGAGTCGTATAAATGGACCTATGTAATGTAGTAACTTAACTAACAAAATAAAATAAGTTAGACAAGTCGGAATTGCTAAAATGAGAGCAGGTTTCGGCGCCAGAAGATGAGATGAGTTAGATGAGGGATGATAAAAGGAAACTGGGAGAGACTGGAGGTTTCCCACCATGACGTTCAAATCCACTATTTAGTAAATATTTACAACCACTAACTACACGATTTAGGCAATGATTAGTCAAGTACTCTAAAATTACATATTAATTCATTTACATAAGGCTATATATCTATGTCATTCATGAGATAGAAATGGGGATATTTGCTACCAAAAAATAAGCCCAAAAACAGCCTCAGTAGTTGAGTGATCAATAGTCTATCAACAAAAAAATTGATTATTAGTCGGCCCTAAACCAACTACTATTTTCTACTGCTAACGTCTTCCCATTGCACATCAACCCATTCCTCAGTATAACCAATACCACGCTCATCTAATTCAGGCATAGCATCAGCGCGAGACGTAGCCACAATAATGGTACCCCATTCCATACCCTTATTAAGACTGATATCCTCGCCAGCCTCTAAATATTCAATAGCATGAGGCATCAATTGCAACTCATAAACTCTTTGTTCGCGACTCAGAGGGCACAATGGGATATCGGGCGTAGCATGCGCCAGGTATCGCTTGGCCACTTTGTCGCCATTGGAGTACAAGAGTGGTTTACCCTCAAATTCGTAACGAATTATTTGCTCAGGATTCATTCCGACAACTTCACAAAACTTTTGAAAGCCCTTATCCATACCGTAAGATTCACCCAGAGAGGCCATATTATCTTCTGTAGCAGTATTACGCTTCTTACTACCATTGGCCTTTTCTTTTTGTTGTTTGGCAGATTCGACCATATCGGCTTCTTCTTCTTCATCCATGAATTCGATACGGTCCTTGAGATCGGCAGGCAAGTCATGTTCCTTCAATGGACGTAAGACCTCTTCTTCCACGTCTACAAAGTAACCAGGATAGCTCGGTAAATCGAGATCCTTAGGCCAAGGTTGTGATGTTTTGATTTGAGTAGGAGGATTTTCGAGAGCTCCCGTAGCGGCATGCAAATAAGTAGCTGGTGTTATCTTATTTTCCTCTTTCTTCTCTTCTTTATTCTTCATTTTCTTCTCTTCTCCCTCTGCCTTTTTACTGGAAAAAGGATTAATGGCGCCATTGGCAAAAGGATTAGCCGAGCTTTCAAATGGATTACTGGAACCACTCGCAAACGGATTAGTCGCTCCAGCATCGTTAGTGGCCCCAAAAACAGAGGTGCCTACGTTAGCCAACTGCTCCTTTTTAAGCTGTCTTTTCTTTTCCTTGGCCTCTTGAATTAAGCGCTCTTCTTCCTCAGCCTCAGCGGCGGCCTGCTTCTCCTGTTTCTCCTTCTCTTCATTACGGTGAATACCACGAATGACCCGAATACTACCCTCCCGGCGAGAGCACGTAGCATCCTTACAGGCAAATAAGTACATAACACGATCGTAGTATTTATCCTCAAGGTCCAATGGTACATAGACCTGTAATAGCTGAGCCATGAGCTTTGAACAAATTTTGCAGTGGATCAAATCGAGCGAGGGTTTGCTGTCCTCGTGAAACCATACTGGCGTGCCGCCCAACTTAGAGTTGTAGACGGTAGGTTTAGCCCGTGCGGTAATGGGCGCATGAATGTACCCGAGACCTACTTGGGTTACTTCTTCATCATCAAAGCAGTCACTTTCAGAGTCTGACATAATATCTGTCGGTTTATAGAGTATCTAGATATATAAAATGTCTATTATAAAAAATTTGATCGGTATAAATTGTTGTGAATGATAAAAAATTGTGATTTGGAGATAATCGCAAAGTCCCAACTATATATATTTCAACTAGTGTTTGTCAGCTATCTATTCACTATATTTCAGCCAATATTTGATCTATCTCTTTGTATTCGTTCAGCTCTTCAATATATTCAAGATCCTGTAAAATATTAGTAAATAGGAACCTAATTATAAAAAAAAACCGTTTAGTAGACACTTACCCCAATAACTTCGTCGTCGCGAACTACGCCAGGTAATAGTTTTCCTTTGCTACCATATCGCCAAACACGCTTAGCCTTGTCATCGGTAGCTAGGTCTACCAGGCTGTACTTGATTTGATTACCCTTGAGAATAAGTTCCAGACGGTTGGTTTTGGATACAATGTTGAATATTCCAGAATTGTAAGACGTGTAAATGAAAATTTTGGGAGCCTTAATTAGGTTATTAGAGCTCCCATAAGTAACCTTGTCTGGTTTATCTATTTTTTTGGAAATCACCGGGTTATCTACATGGACCCACGTTTTTTCCACTTCAATTTTAGACGCTGAAACCATTTTTTCTGACCCAAGAGCTAGAACTTTTTTTTCCTCTTTCCTATCCCTCTTCTCCTCTTTCTCTGCTTCTGTGTTATAAGTATCTAATAAATCAGCCAAATTATCTTCTTCGCTCTCACTCCTGTAATTTGGGGTGATGTCCTGGAGCTGTAGTGGAGCTAATTTTAGAGTGGCTGTTTCAGTAGAAAATACATTGCTGATTTCGGAAGTGGGCATTTTAGGAAAAGTGAACTCAAATTAATTATTTCAAAGCTCTACTAAAGAGAAAAGACAATATCAATTGAAAAAGAAATGGAGTGGCGGATAAGGTCGTAGAAGAGTGAGTACTAAGTATGATCTGTCTTTGGCTGCATTAATCGTGAGGCGGCATTACATACAATCAATACTCACTCTGCTATCATATGAAGTTTTGATGTTGAATTATGTTCAAGTGTTAAAAGGATTTTCAATAAACTTCCAAGCTTTTAATTTAAATAATTTTAATCGTTTTCACCAACCGTAAGATTTTATTCTTTCTCGCTAAGTTTTTTTATGTTTGGTTTTTTCGTTTGCTCCATTATCCGTTTTTTGTTTTCCTGCGATTTCTAATCCCCGTTCCTGAATCTTAGCGTGCAACTTGACAACGCAAAATTAGAAAAGGAATAATAAAACACAATGAAACGTAACACATAATATCAAAAAACAGCATAAGAAATTGTAATAGTTTAAAAAAGCTAAACGATTTTTTCTTTCTTTAGTAATTTACTTAATACTTCCTAATCGTCATCATCGCCAATATCCTTACCCGGTTTTCTTCCAACTGCTGTACGGAAAAATCACTTCAAGCCAACCAATTTGTCTCTTTTAGATGGTATATCTTGAATCTTCAAGCAGACTGACAAGCGAAAGAAACAACAACTCCACAACAATCCGACTTTGGCAGAACTAGTCCTTTATTGGGAAAATTGGCATATCTCCCTTTAACTAATCGACATTGTTGCATAACTACATGAAAGGAATATTGTATCTTTTTACAACAAAAAAGGCTTAATGGTCTAGAGGTATGATTCTCGCTTTGGGTTTATTAGCTTAGTCTGCGAGAGGTCCTGGGTTCGATTCCCAGTTGAGCCCATTATTTTTAAACATTCATTTTACTAACCATTCAGAATTTTCAATGTAGACTTCGTGTTTGAAATCATCAAACGTTCTTTTTTTTCTTTCTTCTTTTTCTTTGGTTGTGTATTTGTTTAAACCAATTTATTTCACTATACGGAGTAGGCGACCAAATTATTACAGTTCTGTATACCCAAGTTTCACAATCAACATCAAGGATTTCAGACCTTTTCAGGAAAGTCATCTATCTTATTGAATTATCGAGTATTCTTTTTAAATTGAAATAGCACCGCTCAGTTAAATTTGGGAAAGTCAGGCTTCATCTGCATCTGTAAATATCTTTCAAGTGATCCATAGTTTTTGTGACATTTTGTATATTTAGTTCCAGGTATTCAAATAAAATACATAAACCCGTTTAGCCTTACCAGTTAACATTTTTCGATACGCTAGTGCTTAGGTCTGGTTAAAAAAAAATAATATAATCGGATTAGAGAGTAAAACATTGACATAGTAGATGAATAGTATAATGCCTGTCTTCAATACCACTTCCCAAATTGGACAGACAATTAATTAAGGGAACGGGCTTTAGTTTCTATTTTAAAATCCTATCTCTAATTATTATAGTATAAAGTCTCACCTAAATAGTTACCTATAATTAGAATAGTATTTCTACCATGATAAAATGACGATACGCTAAGAGGATTCATAACCTATAGTACCGGAAAGTTCGTCAACCTTTTCTTTTGCCAAAATAATATCTTAAACCCATCAAGATATAAATAGGAATAAATATGAGAAAATGACAACTTAGATTGTCTTCTAAATATATGTGAAAAAATCCCAGCGTCTACCCGCTTTTTCACCTCGCCCTGGAAAAAATACGCAACCCGTAGAAACCTGTATACATTTGACATGGGATAACACATGTATGGAAGAAAATTAGCTATATATTATATTGTTACAGTGTGAGACTTTATATCAAAATATAAAAGACCAAGACAATTTGTCTGTGAGTTTGCGTCTTGTCTTGAATGCTTTAAAATTAGAATATGACTCGCAGCCTATTGACCCGTTGTATTCTTAAATTTGGCAATTTCAGTCTTTTGGTCTTTTATATTTTATTACATTATACCACTTCATATTAATTTTTTCATATCGTTTTAGTTTGCTTTGTAGATGTTGTACATCAATATTATTATTTGCCCACTCATGCTGAGATAAACCCGGAATACGGCATATTGAAGTCTGCTACGTGGCGGATTCACCCACAACAATCAGTCTTGTGGCTTATATGGATTGGACATACAAATATCACGTTTAGAGGGTCACGAATCTTATCAGTATTACAAATAAAACAGTTACTAAGAGTAAATTTTTTGTAAAAAATTAAACATCTCACGAAAATAGGACACAAAGGTAGAAAGGGGAATTGTAAATGTGGCACAACGAATAAAGTCTCCCAAACCTACAAGAGTGTTTGAATTGGTAGCACTATCGTTTAAACCAATAATCATAATAATATAAACTAAACAGTATTAGGTAAAGTAATAATAATATCAATAACAGTGAATAACAAGAATAGTAATGATATATATATATATATATATATATATTGCCATAGACACATCTATAAGTTAAACGACCTGAACGTTGAAATACAAATCGCTCCAATAACTTACTAAGACGTTGCCGATCCCAACTTCGTACAGATGTCCTCCCACGATTGTTCTCTCACTCCTTTCTTTTTTCTTCAATATCTTGATCTTGATATCTCTCTCTGATTAACTTATCTCGGACTTCCTGTTTACCCCTTGATACTCAACCTTAATTAGCCCCTTTGGACCTTGTTTAACTGGTGATTGGTTGTTTTAATTATCTTTTGCCACGTTGCTCCTCGCTCATTGACTATATATCAAGTTAATTTTTTCCGGACATATTTGTTTATACAGGAAATAAAAGTATCACCCATTATTTTTTTTAAACAAAAATAACGATTACTACTAGTTTCGTTTAATTTTATATAACTATAGTATTTCTCCTTGTGATTACCGGACTGAAATATTCTATTAAAAGGTTTTAATCATCTCAAAATGTCAGACACTGGTTTAACCCCTGCTGAAATCATGATGCAAAGACATGCTGCTTCTGTTGTCCAAGATTCTTCGCCAGAAACTACCGAACAGCAACAGTTAGAGCAACAAAAGTCAGAAAACTCAGTACCGATTCCTGAATCAGAGATTACCGAATCAGTACAGAACGTTGAGTTAGACAATGTGGAGACTGAAACCTCTGCCATATCCAAGCCTAATATTTCTTCTTTGGAAGAATTTCCCGTTTTGGGCGGTGGTAATGGGACTAAATCTGGTTCTGATTCTAAGTCCCTTTGGTCTAATTTAGCCTCGGGTAAATCGTCTACTACCAAGGCATCGCCTGTGGCTTCTCTTTTCGGCCATAAGACTGAGATCTTTGAAATGACAAAGGACCAACAGCAACCTAACATCCGTGCTACTCTCGCCAAATTCTTGTTAAAGCTTAGAAAGGATACCAATACCTCAATTGAGTCTTCAACAAGTGGTGTTTCCGGAACTACCACCTTCATTATTAAGGGTCGTCCCGAAGATATTTACCGGGCTCATCGTGATATCTTACGTGAACTCTCTGTTAAGCGTACTGAAACCTTTGAAGTTCCAGCTTCTGTTAGATACCACATTATTGGATCTAAAGGATCCAAGTTAAAGGCAATTATTGAAAAATCTCAAACTCAAATTCAGGTTGGTAAGAGACCTGAAGACGTCAGAGAGTCCCTTGAGACTACTCCTGCTTCTCCGGTTTCCGGTGAAGTTGATTCGGATTTGGAGGAGGAAGAAACTATTGAAGTTACTCTTCAGGGTGATGACGAGGGTATTCGTATTGCTAAGGACGAAATTATGGCCATTGTTACCGAAAGAGCCAGAACTACCGTGATGAAAGTCAAGACCGTTCAATACAAGGTATTCCCTTTCTTAAGTGAAATCGTACAATCATTAGAAACCTCATCAGACAATGCTGTCAAGATTAAGGTCCCTGATTACTTCGACAACACCAAGTCGGACTTTATTACCTTAAGCGGCGACCGTCCTGCCGTCCTTGAAGTTAAGGCCAAGCTCGAAAAGGCTGTTGAAGAGTTATTATTACAATTCGGCGAAATTTCCAAGGATGTTGATGCCACTAAGCAAAAGTTTATATCTATTAAGGATGTATTCAAGGCTACGGGTGTTCTGACCACACTCAATTCTACTACTACTTCTTCATCAGTATATCTTTTTGGACCTACTAGCAAGTTAATGTCTGCCATTGAATACCTCGATACCCAAGCCAAGAGTATCATCGTAAGTTCGTTGGACATATCGCGCGCTCATAACAAAGATATTTCCCATGCCAAAGCCTTGGCAAGATTCTTTGTTGCCAATGGTGATATTAAACGTATCGAGGAAGAAAACCAAGTTACCATCCTGGTTCCCTCGCTGAATCAACTTTATGGCCATGATGTAGCTTCAGTTTCCATTGAAATTACCGGATCAAACAATGATCAAATTACTAATGCGCGTAAGGCACTCATTGCCCTGGTTAATCAATACCCACAAGCCCGCGTGGCCATTGTAAATGATATTGATTCGTTTTTTTTTAAGACTTTAGCCAATACTATTAGAACTATCAAGAGTGAATGCAATGTGGCCATTATCTTGCCAGAAGATGCCACTGTGACCTCGGATATTGTCCTTGTGGCACTCGAAACTACTATCGCTGAGGATGATTTTGCTCCTTCTAATGACGAAATCGCTTCAGCGCTCAAGAGAGCTAACGCTCATTTTGATACTGTGCGTGAAAGACAACAGGATTTTGTGACTCGTGTAATCTCCAACATCCCTGCCGCCGAACACAAATTTATTTTGGGGAAGAACGGCAAGACTTTGGAGGCTATCTTAGGTACCGGATCCGGCGATTTTGTCTCAGTCAACTTTGGTATTCCTTCAGGTCCTTTAGTTGGCACTGACAAGGATACTACCTTTGATAATAATTCTATTATTGTTCGCGGTGTTAAGGATGAAGTTAACCGTGTCACTAAGGCTATCGATCAAGCTATTGAAAATGGCAAAAACGAGGAAGTAGCTAAATCTTATACTGTCGAATTTCAATTTCCCGTTGAATTCATTAAGCGTTTAATTGGCAAGGGTGGTTCCAATTTGACTAAATACCGTGAACAGTACGATGTCAAGATCGATATTGACGAGGATGGAAAGGCTGTCGTAAAGGGTATTAAGATTCAAGCTGACGCTGCTCGTGATGCTATTATTGCTTACGGTAAGCAATTAGCTGATATTGTCGTATTACGTTTATCTATTCCTTCGGAATACCACGCTATGTTGATCGGTTCTGGAGGTAAGTTGGTTAAGCGATTAGAGGATAAATATAAGGTTCGCATTAATTTCTTTGCGTCTAATGGCAAGGGTAATAACGGATCTAGCGATATCTTTACCGATCGCCCCAAGACTAAAGATGAGGTAGTAGTTGTTGGCCCCTCCAAGGGTGCTACCAAGTCCAAGGAAGAACTCATGGATCTTTTTGCCTACGAGAAAGACAATAACCAAACCAAAACTTTGGTTGTACCTATCAAATCTTTGGCACGTATCATCGGTAAGGGTGGTGAGTTAATCAATGAAATTAAAGACAACTCTAACACTCGTATTGATATCAACCAAGATGAAGCTGGTGAAGGTGATGATGCCAGTGTTCCTATTGTTATTACAGGCACTAAGGCCGGTATTTCTGAGGCCAGTGCTAAGATCAATGATATTGTTAATGAATTCAACGAAGAAGTCATTGAAGAATTAGAAATTGATCCCAAATTCTACAAGAGTCTCATCGGTGCCGGAGGCGCCACTATGCGTGAAATTCTTGCCAAGGCTGGTATTGAAGAAGGTAATGTTAATGCTGGTAAATGTTTACAGATCCCCAATAGTGGGTCAAAGAACAAGACT